AAAAGTCCATTGACTGAGGATGAAGACCTAGAAAGTCCTGCAGTGCTGGTCACAGTTCACAAAAAAGCCACCTTGCTCAATATTTTACATAGGCATACATATAATAATTGGGGGCATGGTGCATATATAGAGTTCATAAAGGAGAAAGAAGAGCATACAGGGTTGGAAAATATTGGTCCTTGTTATCTGGAGTTCATAAAGGGAAGGCCCAAGGTACATAAATGTGGGACCAGGCTTTCGGAAACTCTGGCAGCTAAAAAAGAAAGGCCATAATGATGGGCAAATAATGAAGAAATCTATTGGACCTATGGAATGCGAAACACTGACCATGAGACTGCTTATTGTTGTGCTATGGTGCTATATATTGATGTTTTAATCTGTTAATTGTTTAATTATTGTAATTGTTTTATATTTGCATGTATTGGATAAGGGCATCGAATTGTGCCTTCTTTTTGTAAGCCACCCTGAGTCCCCCTTCGGGGGTGAGAAGGGCGGGGTATAAGTAGCAGAAATAAATAAATAAATAAAATAAAGGCACCAAGCAGCCAAAGCTCCTTCATAGAAAAGGAGATTCATTCATAAAAAAGGAATCCAATTCATAAAAAGTCATCAGAGTGGCCTGGCAATGGCCTGGGTTCTGGGATAATACAAGAGGGATTTTCCGGATTCTGCAGGCATCATCCAAGCAACACACACAAGAAAAAGGGGATACATACACCAATGTCATGTGGAACCGCAGGACCACAAAAATGTCTTTAGTTTCCACAGGAGTATTTTGGATGGGGAAAAGTGGATCTGAGGGGCGTAGGGGTCCGTTCAGCAGAAAACAAGATAGCAAGGAAGAAGATAGCGTTGGTTCCGACAGAATCGGTTAAGTCACGGATACGGAGGCCCGATGGATCCTGGTATCCGCGGCTTAAATGATCACAGTTCCGTGCCCCCCGGGATGCTGCTGGAGCATCCCAGCCAAGCCAGCGGGGCTGCATGGCTGGTGGAAGAGAAAGATTCATAGTTGGAGTCAGTAAAGGACACAATGTATCAAGCAGAGAGGTGAAAGTTAGGAAAAAGGATACTTTTTTATTAGGGGTTTGTTACAAGGTGGCCAGGGGAGCCTGAGAGGGAGAGAAAAAAAGAGTTCTTTGCGGTAGCTGTTGCTGGTGCCACTATCCTGTTGATACTTGGTCAATTCATGCACCCAGGAACTGTGGAACTCCCTGCTGTGGTCAGATCAACTTGAAAGCAGGGGTTTCCATGTTCAATTACAACCTGAATTCCCAAGATTTCTACAATAACAGTATGTAAAATGTGCAAGATTTTTTAAAACAAATTGTATCGAATAACACCTCCCTAAACTGCACATCCCATAGGATATTGCCATGGCAGTTAAAGTGGAATGATAGCATTATAATAGTGTAGTGCAGGCATGCACAAACTTGGGCCCTCCCTCCAGGTGTTTTCGACTTAAATTCCCACAATTCCTAGCAGCCTTGGCCCTTTACTTTTCCCTCTCATTTTAATCAGCTGAGGGGGAAAGGGAAGGGGCCTGAGGCTGTTAGGAATTGTGGGAGTTGAAGTCCAAAACACCTGGAGGGAGGGCCCAAGTTTGCCAATGCCTGGTGTAGGGTCTAAAAGTATAAGTCAACTACATTAAATATTCTTTATCCATAAACAAGAAGAAATAATCCCTTCACTTCACCTTGATCAAGGTAAGATTATGTTGTTTTCAAAAGAGGGAAAGTGTTTGTGCACAAATAACAAGGAGCTACTATAATTGGTAATTAACGCACAACACTTAATGCCACCGGGATCTCTGAGGACCTGGGATGACCCTAGAGAGGCAATCCTATCTTCTCATATTTTCAGGTCTCTGCATGTTTAGAAAACTCAGCTTGTCAATATCTTTTATGGGACATCATCAACATGACACAAAAGCAGGCAAGCTTGAATATAGTCCTTTTTATATATGGCTGGAGCGTTTGGGCGCTTGCACGCTTTTTTGTGGCCCTAATAAAGGCCAAATTGGACATTGTTTCCTCGCGAGGCGTGGCTCTGAGTGTGTTTTAACGAAGTCTAATAATGCTTAACTTAATCAAAGGTCTGAATTTCACATAGAGAGAGGGCCCTTCCAGACTGCCATATAACCCAGAATTATCAAGACAGAATAACCCGCAATATCTGCTTTGAGATGGAATATCTGAGTACACACTGTCATATATCCCAGTTCAAAGCAGATTTATTTATTTATCGTATCAGGAGAGAACCAAGGGTACAGTTGGTTCAGAAAACACAAAAGTTAAAAACTTGGCATTATACTAAATGTCCTTTGACCAGTAGCTGTTCACTTGGGAGTGCCGCTGGTGTTGCTATAAGAAGGTCCTCTATTGTGCATGTGGCAGGGTTCAGACTGCATTGTAATAGATGGCTGGACTATAGCGGGGGGGGGGGGGGGGGGGGAGGGTTCAACCCCTCACTCCATTTTTTAGCTTTAAAATGCTGGTTTACTCATGAACTTTAACTGGTTAACAAAATCCCCGTGCTAAGTCTATGAGATGCAAAAAATTAAGAATCCCTCCAGAACTGTAAGCACTATCTCAAGCAAATATTGACAATTTATTCACATTGTCATTACTTGCAGCATTACTTGCATTACTTAGTGAAGCAACCAAGTTGTGTGTGTGTTGAATGCTCTCATTAAGGAGGCCAGACTTGGTGGAGGTGGTTGGCAGGGGTGGAGCTGCAGGCTATTGAAGGCTGCTCTGCCCCCTGCTGTGCTCTTTGCTTCAGCGTGAGCTAGGAGGCAGGTTTCAACACCCCCCCTGCGAAATTTTCAACCCCCCCCCCAAATTTCAACCCCTCCCGAAATTTTTTTCTGGCTACGGCCCTGATAGATGGTCTGTGGTTTGCTCTTCTCCACCCTTGCATGTTCTGGACTTTGTGGCCCCATTTCTTAAGGTTGGCTCTGCATCTCGTAGTACCAGATCACAGACTGTTCAGCGCCTTCCAAGTTGCCCAGTCTTCTGAGTGAGTAAGCTCAACAAAATAGCCCACTTATATACAAAATAGAAAATAAATAAGTACAGCAAATAATATGACCATTGAAATTTATTATACTGTTCAAATTCACAGTAATCACAAACGATATTGTATGGATTTTGTACAATCACTCTGAAATGGTATCGACGTTGTGTGTTCTTATGCCGAGTTGAACATGAATCAGCCGCCCACGACCGGTTTCGGCCTTACTCCAGGCCTTCCTCTTGTGGTCTGAAATTGTTATATATATCAACAAATGCTACAAATATATCCATTAAACATCATATAATAAAACACATTTGAAGGTACTTACAAAGTTATACACTTGACACTTGTTCTCTTTAGAGATACAAGTTTTTATACTTAGTGGGATCAAAGGAACAAAATGTGGCTGTAAGCATTTGAAAGTTACATATACAGAAAATAAATGTTGTACAAAACCCATCCAATATCATTTGTGATTACTGTGAATTTGAACAGTATAATTTTATTGAGCAATCTTCTGTGTGCCCAGAAGGGAGTCTCTCATTTGGTATCAGTCATGGATCGAGGTTGCTGGGTTTTAGCCTGCCACTTTTGGACTCTCGTTTCCTGAAGTGTTCCTGTGAGTATCTCTGTAGATCTTAGAAAACTATCTCCAGGGGTGGGCCAGGGATGTCACTGCCTTGGTCTTTTCATTATTGGTTGCTACTTCCTGGCGGATGTCAGGTGGTGCAATACAGCTAGACAGTGTAATTTCTCCAGTGGTGTGGGGCGTAGAAAGCCTGTGATAATGCAGCATGTCTCATTAAGAGCCACATCCATATCAAAGATTAGAGAGATGGGCCAAAACGAACAAATGAAGTTCAACCGTGACAAATGCAAGATACTCCACTTAGGCAAAAAAAAAAATGAAATGGAAAGATGCAGAATGGGGGACGCCTGGCTCAATAGCAGTATGTGTGAAAAAGATCTTGAGGTCCTCGTGGACAACAAGTTAAACATGAGCCAACAATATGATGCGATGGCAAAAAAAAGCCAATAGGATTTTGGACTGCATCAATACTATATAGTGTCTAGATCCAGGGAAGTCATGCTACCCCTCTATTCTGCCTTGGTTAGACCACACCTGAAATATTGTGTCCAATTCTGGGCACCACAAATGAAGAGAGATATTGACAATGTGTCCAGAGGAGGGTGACAAAAATGATCAAGGGTCTGGAGAACAAGCCCTATGAGGAGCAGCTTAAAGAGCTGGGCATGTTTAGCCTGCAGAAGAGAAGACTGAGAGGAGACATGATGGCCATAAATATGTGAGAGAAAGTCATAGGGAGGAGGGAGCAAGCTTGTTTTCTGCTGCCCTGGAGACTAGGAGGCAGAACAATGGCTTCAAACAACAAGAGAGGAGATTCCATCTGAACATGAGGAAGAACTTCCTGACTGTGAGAGCCATTCAGCAGTGGAACGCTCTGCCCCAGAGTGTGGTGGAGGCTCCTTCTTTGGAAGCTTTTACACAGAGGCTGGATGGCCATCTGTCAGGAGTGATTTGAATGCAATATTCCTGCTTCTTGGCAGGGGGTTGGACTGGATGGCCCATGAGGTCTCTTCCAACTCTTTGATTCTATGATTCTTTGGAAGCTTTTGCACAGAGGCTGGATGGTTATCTGTCGGGGGTGCTTTGAATGCAATATTCCTGCTTCTTGGCAGGGGGTTGGACTGGATGGCCCATGAGGTCTCTTCCAACTCTTTGATTCTATGATCCTAAGCAGATAATGTGGGGCTTTATTCAGAGACATTTGGGAGACTGCCAGGCTTTCTAGCTGAAGGAGCGCTGCACTCTTCCTCCCAGTCAATAGGGGGCAGCAAAGGAATCTCCCTCCACCAATCATTCAGCAGCCCCATGGGGGGCGGGGGAGAGAAATGAGAGAGAGAGAGAGAGAAGCGTGACTGAAATTCGACGTCATCCTCGCTTCGCATCCGGGTCTTCCGGCTGAGTTTCCCAGAGACACCTCAAAACTCAGGAAAACGGGCGCGCGACTTCGGGAGTGGAAGGAAGAGGAAGGGGCGTGGCCGCAGGAGACGTACAGAAACTTCATTAGAATATATATAGAGAGAGAGAAAGAGAGACGCTTCCGCCCGCGCGCTCGGCCACGCCCCTTTCCCTCCTGTACTACTGCTATAGGTTGTGGCGCTTCCTTCCTTGTGCCTTTCCAACAAGTCCTTCAGGAAGGAAGGGAGGAAGGAAGGCTGGGAAGCTGCGCGAGATCAACAAGCAACAGCTGAGGCGGCGCGAGAGGCGCGGCGCAGGCGCACTCTTACGAAAGGCCTAACACACCCCCCCCCACCTTTTCCCCCAAGCGCCGCCACAACTGCTTTCGCCCGAGCCGCCACCGGCGCGAGGCGGCGCGCGGCGGTGGCGGCGGCGCGCGCCTAAGAGAGCGAGCGAGTGAGTTGCGCGCGCAGCCCCGCCTCAGCGTTCCCCACACACCCGGGCCAGAGCCAGGCGCAGGAGGGTTAAAGATGGAGGGTCTGACCCTGAGCGAAACGGAGCAGCGCTACTATTGCGACCTCTTCGCCTACTGCGACACCGAGAGCACGAAGAAAATCGCCTCCAACGGGCGGGTCCTGGAGCTCTTCCGCGCCGCGCAGCTGCCCAACGAGGTCGTCATGCAGGTAAGCCGCCGCCGCCCCCGCCTTGGGAGAGAAACGGGACACCCCAAGGTGAGCCGCTTCCCGCAAACCCCGAAGGCCCGGCCCCCCCTTCCTTTGACGCCCACTTCGGGCCTCCCTCCCTCTCTCTCTCTCTCGCCTGAAACCGAGGGACATCAGCCTCTTCTCTGTGTCCATAACAGCCTCGGTCCCTTCTGCCCACCCAGAGTTTCGCTTCCCAAAACACGCATTTTTCAAGCGTTTTGTGTCTTTAAATATTTTGGGTATGTTTTTAAAAATAAAGACAGCCATTTGTTATCTTTGTGTGTATAAGTAATGGAGAATGTAAACCAAGAAAAACTGTGGATGGACAATGAGAAAGTGCATATCACAAAAATTATGTAGTGGCTGAAGTTATAACTAGGGCCCCTTTCCGCACAGCTGAATAAAACCCCACATCATCTACTTTGAACTGGAATATATAGCAGCAAGCTCTTCCACACAGTAAAGCCTTGAGAACTTTATGTACATGCCCATAGGTTTACACTGTGGGTCCTTTCACATAGCACCATATTCCAGAATATCAAGTCGGGAAATCCCACATTATCTGAGTGTGGACTCAGATAACCCAATTCAAAGCTGATACCGTGGGATTTTCCGCCTTGATATTCTGAGATATAGGTCTGTATGGAAGGGCCCCCAGTTCAAAGCAGATATTGTGGGATTTTCTGGCTTGATATTCTGGGCTATATAGCTGTGTGGAAGAGCCCTAAAAGTCAAAGATTCCCAACAAAGGATTCCCCCAGGCAGTAAGAAGCCAGATCTTGAAACTGCTAGGGCATTAAATGCTAATCAAGGTGGTCAGTTTCAAAATTCACATCTGCCTCAAACAGACAAAGATTTCTTTCTCCCACCCTAGACGTTCTACAGATATATAAACCCAATTTTCCTAATGTATTGTCAAAGGCTTTCATGGCCGGAATCACTGGGTTATTGTAGGTTTTTCAAGCTATATGGCCATATTCTAGAAGCATTATCTCCTGACATTTTGCCTGCATTTGTGGCAAGCATCCTCATAGGTTGTGACCTCTGTTTAAAACTGTTTAAAACCTCTGAAGATGCTTGCCACAGATGCACGCAAAGTGTCAGGAGAGAATGCTTCTAGAACATGGCCATACAGCCCGAAAAACCTAAAACAACCCAATTTTCCTAGTTTCCAACAGATTTCACCACCTCTGAGGATGCCTGCCACAAATGCAGGTGAAATGTCAGGAGAGAATGCTTCTAGAATATGGCCATATAGCTTGAAAAACTTACAATAGCCCAATTTTCCTAGTTCCCAACAGACTTCACAACCTCCGAGGATGCCTGCCATAGATGCAGGTGAAATGTCAGGAGAAAATGCTTCTGGAACATGGCCAAAAACCTCACAACAACCCAGTTATAGAACTTCTAGTAAAAATCTGTGGGCCCTTCGACACAGCCCTATATCCCAGAATATCAAGGCAGAAAACCCCACAATATCTGCTTTGAACTGAGTTATCTGTGTCCATACTGTCATATATTCCAGCAGACAATGTGATATTTTCTTCCTTGATATTCTGGGATAGAGGTCTGTGTGGAAGGGCCCTGTATGAACAATGGGAGTGAAGGAAGATCTGGGGGAAATATAGTGTGAAGAAAGATCTGAGGGAAATACAAAAAACAGCCAGCACAAGGAGGGATATGACTGGGTATCTGAGGGGAAGCAGGTTATCCCATCATTAATTTGCTGTTTTCGGCCCCTTCCACACAGCGAAATAAAATCCCACATTTTCTGCTTTGAACTGGAATGTATTGTAGTGTGAACTCCCATAACCCAGTTAGAGGCCAATTGGGTATCCCCCATGGAAGTCCCTTATTTTGAAATCTTGGGAGAAAACGTTGCTGCTTTGACCAAGGGATAAAATGAAATGCAGGTTTCTCCCCCCCCCCCTTTTTTTTTTTTTTTTTTACAAAATAGATGTGTTCCTGGCCATTACTTCTTTTAAAAGAAATTTGCTCCTGGAACTAGGCAGAAACAACACAGAAATAAGTTTCTTGCACCATAAAGAAAGAGCCGTTCATCTGCTTTCAACGAACTTCACCCAAACTAAAAGTTGCACATGTTAAATAAAGAAGCCAAGTCAGGATATTATTCTATAAGTAAAAAAGTAGTGTCTTGATCTGGGTTGCTGTGAGTTTTCCGACCTGTATGGCCATGTTTCAGAAGCATTCTCTTCTGATGTTTTGCCCAGATCTTTGACAGGCATCCTCAGAGGTTGTGAGGTATGAGGATTCCTGTCATAGATGCGGGTGAAACATCAGGAGAGAATGCTTTTGGAACATGGCTATACAGGCCGGAAAACTCACAGCAACCCAGTGATTCCAGCTATGAAAGCTTTCAACAACACAATGTTTTGATCGTTAGGGAGACCAGTCTGAAGGCTTCTTTCAGGGATTTTCTCTCTCTTTCACCAGCCTCCATTTTTCTTACAATTTCAATTTTGGTAGCCAAACTTATCAACTTGTGCTCTTTAAAACATGTTTGGGGATGGCGTATTTGCTTTCCCTTTACTCTCTAGTTAGCCTTCAGGTATGCTCAGTAAGGTATTCTAGAAGCAGCTGCTGTTTCCTTGATCTGTTGTAGGGAGGAAAAGCTGCATAGTGTAATCAATCCTATTCTCTCCCAGCAAAAGCTTTATTGCATTGCTTTCTACACACATGTTGTTTTAATCTGATACCCCTTCACCATCCTCTTAATACTGTGAATATTGTATTGTATTGTATTAACACCTGGAATACTGTGTCCAGTTCTGAGTACTGCAATTTAAGGGAGATGTTGACAAGCCGAAATGTGTCTAGAGGAGGGCAACTAAAATGATCAAGGGTCTGGAGAGCAAGCCCTAGGAGAAGCGGCTTAAAGAGCCGGGCACATTTAGCCTGCAGAAGAGAAGACTGAGAGGAGATATGATGTCCATGTATAAATATGTGAGGGGAAGTTATAGGGAGGAGAGATTCCACTTGGAGACTAGGGCGCAAAACAGTGGCTTCAAACTACAGGAAAGGAGATTTCATCTGAACATTAGGAAGAACATTCTAGTTGTAAGAGCTGTGCAGCAGTGGAACTCTCTGCCTCGGAGTGTGGTGGAGGCTTCTTCTTTGGACAGTTTTAAACAGAAGCTGGATGGCCATCTGTCGGGGGTGCTTTGAATGTGATTTTCCTGCTTCATGGCAGGGGGTTATACTGGATGACCCATGGGGTCTCTTCCAACTCTGTGATTCTAATTATGATTCTGCTAAAGAAATGCCCAGGTACATAGAGGATAAGAAAGAAATGGGGGCTGGGTGAGCATTACAAGACGCTAAAAACAAATGTCTTTGCCATAGGTTTTGTTAACTGAGGTATGCATGTGAAGAGGTGCTTTGTTGTACTTTTGCCCATTTGAGTTTAATTTAGTTTAATAGCAAATGCACTTGTTTCCTGTTCAGTCAGTTTTGTTGTATTGTTACATCTGCAACTCAGTTGCGAGAAGACAACAAGGATATGGTTTGTGTTAGTGTGTAAACACAGAAAATATTCCTTGATCAGCATTAGAATATTGGATTATATGATGAGTTCAGCCATTCACATTTAACTCCAAATTATGAACCCAGTTAAATGTTTTATCATTAGTGTATCTTTGCATACTTCTCATACATGCGTTTTTTAATAGATGAAAAGGGCTAAAAAACAGAAATAGGAGGATCATGAAGGAAAAAACCCGAATTCTAACTCATGAGTATGTTTGGGACGTGAGAGCTCCGCTACCTTGTTTTAACATATTTTAAGCCTGACCCATGTGGTAAGAAACTATTGCCAAAAATGTACAAAGAAGCTATGCAAAGACTTAAAGTACTTTGTATAATATGGACATGGCCTTGAATCATGACGTAATTGAAATTCATCTGAAAGATAAATTTTCTGGCAGATTTCATTGTGTTTTTACTTATGGGTACAACTGTTACTATGCCCAAGGGCAGTCAGTACCTTTTACAATTGGTACCTACAGTTAGTACAGTTTGTAAAAAAGGACACACTTGTGCTCAATATTAGAACTTTCAGCTCATTAAAATACTCAGGTATATTGTCTCAGTTTTGGTAAAAGTGGTAAACTGAAAGATTAAGTAACGTAAATGGTTTATATCAAGAAAGTTAACCTTTATCACTTGGTCCCGTTCACCATTATTCTTTGTAAACTTTATATATTGGCCATAACAGTTGTTTTAGGTGTTGAGGAATTCAAAAGCCATGTTTTCTAGAGTACCTGCCACTAAAAGATAACAACATCTACTTCATGTGTTGCTAGTTAATGGGAAGATCGTCAAACGAAAGGTTTCCTGTGGCACATGACTGTCCTAACTTGCATATTGTGTATTATCTGCTTTGATAATCTGAATTATAAGGTAGTGTAGCAGGGGCTTTAGTGGTGAGTCAAAACAAAAGGGGAAGTTGCTCCTGAAGCTATTTGAGGAATGTCATCTCAAATGTAAATGTCATGGCTCAATGCTATGCAGTCCTGGGATCTGTAGTTTAGTAAGGCATCAGCATTCTTTGGCACAGAAGGCTCAAGACCTTGTAAAACTACAGCCTCTATGACTATAATATATTGAACCAGAGCAGTTAAAGTGGATTCATTCTACAGCATAGATCCACCCCAAGGTTTTCCTTTCTGTTGCTGGAAGCTTTGGTCCTCTAATAGATTTGTTTTTAAATAAGGAACTCTAAGACCCCTTCCACACAGCTGAATAAAATCCCATATTATCTGCTTTAAACTGGAATATATGGCAGTGTGGATTCAGATAACCCAGTTCAAAGCGGATATTGTGGGATTTTCTGCTTTGATATTCTGGGTTATATGATTGCATGGAAGAGCCCACTAACTGTGTTGGCCAAATCACAAAGTGCACCCTTTGCCATTTCACATTACATTCGGCAGCAAATACTTTTTTTATTTTGTTTTGTT